ATGCCTGGGTTCTCTGGACCAGGAAGAGGCCTGGCCGGAGGAAGGAGGGGAGCGGAGGGGAGGACGGCAACAAGCCCGAAAGGGTTAAGAATGGGAACCAATGCTCTGTGGGCTAAGACCTTCCTGTAATTGTTAGTTAAGACAGCCACAGGAGTTTGTTTTGCTTGGGATGGTTGAAATATTTCTGGCGTGGCTGGCCTCCTCAATCTCAGAGGCTCCTTAAACCCCGGGAAGGCAGTGCCCCGGCTCAACGCTCCACTTGCTCTCAGCAGCCTGCTCAAGCCTATTTGCATGCGGAGTCATCTTTCTTCTTGCTGCTCACCTGTCAGAAGCTCCAGTCACGCAAAAACAACAAGAAGCACTTCAGGACCAGCCTCCCGTGTGCCCTGGCGAACTCAGGAGTCAAGCCCTTCCCTTGTTTCAGTCACCTCGAAGGAAGCTGAGGCAGACCTGCTTCCTGTTCCTCCCAGCCAGTGACCCAAAAAGAGCGACGGCTTCAAGGTCCCGGGCAGTTCCAAAGGTCCCAAGGGCAGGGGGGATCGGCACGACCCATTTTGCACTCAGTGAACTGAGCTGCTTCAGGTATTACAGCAAGCCAGAGCAGGGTCCTTCCACAGGCCTGCTTGTGAGCCCCCCCCCCCCCTCCCATCAACCACCTGGTGAAATACTAAAGCCTTATAGAACTCTTGCTACTTCCCTGCTCGCCTGGGGTGAGCAGCAATTGTTTGTCGGCGAGCAACAAGCAGTCAACGATAACCATGTTATGTCTGTTTCTCTATATACAGTCTCAGCCTTTTCAGGCTAGACTTAAAACCAGGCTGTGTGTGTCCTTTGCTTCCACCTATAAGGGCTAGTAGAAATTCCAGGCAGAACAAAGGCAGCAGGGCGGAGGTTGCCAGCCAATGCTGCTGCTTTGGGGATCCAGAATCCTAGAGAAGCAGCATCAAGAAATGTATTCTTGCGCATGACTAGAGAGGTGGACGGAAGGAAGGATGAGTACAGGGACCACTTCCCCACCGTTGCTCCCTTTGACCTGAGAGCCCTGTGACTTTTGACTTCAAACCGAGGATGACAGGGCAGCAGCCACATTAAACTCAGTGCTGCACTTTCACACCTCCTTCTCTGCCTGCCGGCCAGAAGGCAGAGAAAATGGGCCATGGGAAAAGTCATTTGACCCCTGTGTTGGTTTAGGGTTGGCGTGCCAGTCTGTGTAGGTGGCCGCTCACCTTGTTGCGCCCGTGTTGGAGTCATTTGTTAGCAGGGGCGGGAATGAGGGCTTACTCCCCTTTAGCCCCACCGCTATCAGAGTCCATACGGAGGCCTACGAAAAGCTGTGGGGTTCAGTAAGCTGTGCCGATACAGCTGCCGGCAGCCACGATGAGGCTAGAAAACCCCAAGTCACTTATTCGAAAGTAAATGCTGCAAGCATTAAACCAATACAGTTTGAGGGTATACAACCATCAGGTCAGCAAGAATGCAAGCTTCGGACAAAGTAAATAAACAAGTGTCCTGGATCTCTGGAGGGTGTAGGTCCCACTTGAGGAGGGACAGTGGCTCAGTGGTAGAGCGTCTGCTCGCCATGCAGACGTTTCCAGGTTCAATCCCCGGCATCTCCTGTTAAAGGATCAGGTAGCAGGTGGTGTGGAAGACCTCTGCCTGGAGAGAGATCACCTTGGAGAGCCACTGCCAGTCTGAGTGGACAACACTGACCAAATTGGACAAACGGTCTAATTCAGTATAAGGAAGTTCCATGAGCTCACTTTGTCCTTCCACCGACACCTCCACTATTAGCCACACTAGTGATGCTCAAAGAATTCTGGACCCTTTCCCAGGAGTGTGCAGCAACAATCCTTCCCCTAGTTCATGACCTGTTCTTTGCAAAGCTGCCCTCAGTTCTTTATCTGCCTATCAACTAGCCAGAATTTAGAGACAGTAGGAGTTTAGGTATCTGTAAGAGTCAACAGGAATTTGGGAGCCAGCGTGCTTGGCTTCTTTGAGAGGAGGATAGAATTTAGCGGATGACGGCAGGGGTGGTGGTGTCAGGAGTCCTGAAAGCAAGTTAAGGACAGAAGTACGTCAAGGAAGATGGTTGGTGGCCAGGAGAGTTTGGGAAATTCGCCCAGAGGTGTCAGAGTAAGGAGGCAGGATTCTTGGGTTCTTTGGAGACAGGATAGGGAATTGTGCGGGCTACAGCCAAGTGGTGGGCAGGCAGGAGTTCTGTGTCCTCTGGGCCTCTCTGGGGCGAACACCGCTATCTTTATAACTATCACAGTTGCAGATCTGACAAACAAACCTGGCCTGAATGTCTAATGTAATAAATCATCTAATCTGATAAAGTTTGTGTCTGCGAATATGCCGCTTCTGCGTCTACCCCACATGGCCTCCGCCCCTTTCTCCAGAGCACACGGCATGCCTGCTAATTGTTGTGCTGGCCGGTTCATATGACTCTTAACGTATCCAGACCTTCTGCCAAGATCACTGTTCCAAGTTTAGGATGAGGCCAAGAGGGCTGGGAGGCGGGGGGGGGGAGCAGGGAACAGGCGGTTTTTAAGGCGCATACGTGCCCATTGCTGCTATAAATATCAGTTGCCTGCAACATAACTGGTGCTCGAATCCAGCAGAGACGTCCTATGGGAAACCCAGAGAGGCAAAGAGAATTAAACTGATCTCTCTCAGTGCTTGTGCTTACTCAATACGAAGCCATGTATGAAATCAATTTTTTTTAAAAAAAAATCACAATGATCAACATTTGTTGTATAGGGTTTAATATGCCATTGCTAGCCAGCCCCTCAGTTTGGAGAACTTGGAGTAAAATGCTCAAGTTTGGCCTGTCAATGAACACCTCGATATCAGTAAATGATGTCTTCCCAACGTACTTTTTCTCTTCTGAAAAAAAGTCAGCCACAGCTTCCTAGAAGGGTTCGCCAAGGGCTGGGGAACAACCCTGCCACCCCCCGACTAAAGCTATATGTTCATCAATCTGCTTCACCAAAATATGAACCTATCCAGGATTATGAAATCAGACAGAGAGTCTTTTCAGATACAAAGAACTACTTCGCAGCTAACGGCCAGCGGATGCCTTTTGAATAACGCATACCACAGTAGTTGAATAGCGCAGAGAGAGAGAGAAAGAATGTGGTTTTAGACCAAACAGTATTACTTCTGTACTAAATCACCTCACTGAAGCCTGCCCCGACATTTCATTGGTTAAATTACCTTTTCCCATTTAAATTTTTCAGGGGGTGTGTGGGAATCACAATCTAGAAGTCAAATCACCTGTCAAATCTGACTCTTTACACATTGTTCAAGTCTCTTTCCCATTCAATATAAAAAAGAAGCAAATTTGTTCCGCTGTTCTATTGTTCACACATCTGGAAAAAACATGGGCAAAAACAAAAGCTCATGCCGCAATAAAATCATTCGGTCTTTACGGTACCCCAAGACTCTTTACTGTTTTTGCCACAACAGACCAACATAGCGATCCCCGCTGGAATTCACTGGTCTGTTGACACAGCAAATGCTAAGAATTCTCTGGATTTGCAGATTGTATCTGTGCACTTTGGTCGACTTGCTAGATAAAACTCCTTAACTGAATTGATTAAATTCAGATGGTTCATTCAGCTGCCTTGAATTAGGGGTTAGTCACACACACACACACACACACACACACACACACAAGCTTCAAATACCTCTCTCTTTTTTCATCATGAAAACACAAAGCTGCATTCCTGGCATGCTTGACGTTATTTTGGGGCATAAAACAAAAATTCCAGGACTTTTTTTTTGTCTCAAAAGGCAATGGGCGCATGTGCCCAATCACATTTGCAATTCATTCCGTGACATTTTCAGTCTTTACAACCCACGGAGCGCCTCCCTGGCTGCAGCAAACATATTAATAGCACAATCAATCACATTATCCTTTAAGGATTTGCGTTTTGTGAAAAAGGCAGCAGCACAAACCCCTTGCAGCAAGAAACCTGCATTAACTAGTCATTCTGGGTACACAGCTGGGCCTGCTCCTACCGGTAAATCCGACTGAACGGGGGTGACTAGAACCACTCCCAGCTATGACAGACCCCAGCTTCCCAAACCACTCGCTCCCCCTTGCATTCTCCTTCCCTGTAATCGAGTCTCTTGCTGGATACACTGACCCCTCAGCAATGCAAAAACAGAGGCCTTTGCGGTACTGAAGGCATTTCTCCTTGGCAGGAATGGTTCTCTCCATCCCTCCCAGCCCCAACGGGGTTTCTTTCACACTACCGGGTGACAGGCTCGGAGGAGCAGAATGGACTCCATACCTGAGCAAAGCCCAGAAATGGGGGCGAAGGTGGGGATGGAGTGGGGGGAAGAATATGGGAAGAAAACCTTGCAGAAATTTCACTGGGTGATGTCCCCTGACTGGGCACTGGCAGGCAGACGGATGAAGGAGCAGACAGAGACAGCCAGTACAGGGGATGGACGTAAGAGGGTTAGGGCAGATACAGAGATAAGAGAACAAAGGGTATGGGCCGAGAGCTGAAAAACCAGACATCCATACCTGGACACCATTAAGTAGAAGGCCAGGAGGCAGGTGCATGAATCCACAGAGAACCAGGAAATCAAAAGCAAAGGCTGAGTCCAAAGGAGGCAGTTGGGGGTGGGGGGATGGACTGAAAAATGTCAAGCGGCGTCAACTGTTCTAACATGAGGACACACTGATGACATTCCAGGCACATTCCCCCCTCTCCCACAACACAATACCAAATGCCACTTTCTCCTGTAGTTTCCAGAGTCCAAGCAAAAGAACATCCCGGTTAGCTGCAAAGTCTCACATCTCTACACACTTCACCCGCAGCTTAGGCTATTACTGACAATGTCTGGACATCACTGTCTGGACACAGATCACCCCTCCCCCTCCCCCGGCCTGTAGGGGACCCCTGCCATCATCCGTTGCGCCAGGGAGGCACTGAAGCGGAGGACGCAGAGGAAGGAGGCCCTGTACGAGGCACACAGTACCTTACCAGACAGAAGCGCTTTCCCCTCCCCACTCCTGGCAGAGAGAGATGTTGACACCTCCAAGGCCCAACAGCAACTGAGCGGCAAATGGCTAAGGGGAGGAGTCCGGGCGTTGTGACCACGCCCACCCCGACCAATCACCGCAGAGAGGGTGCGGTAGCGATGGAAGGGGGGAAAAATCTGACTGCAAGATAAAGACAGGCTGGAAAAGGCAGTCTCACACACACCTCCCTTGTGGGGGTGGGGTTAAAATGAGTGACGGGACAGCCCGCCAAACAGAGCAAGCAGAGGAGGTGGACCTCTGGGAGGCTGAATGGATTTCTTTGTGTGTGAACAGATCTGGAGAGGAGGGGAGGGGGGAAGGATGAATGAGGTCTATTGTCTACTGGGAGGGGGATTGGGATTACATCAGAGGATAGGACCCCCCCCCCAGTGCTGTATCCTCTCCTGTTCCAACTAATGGACCCTTCTGCATAACTCAGCCTCCCCGCCTCCCCCTCTGCTTAACCCACTAGATCATTAACTACCAAAGTTTGTACTTCAAAAGAAATATTAAAAACCTGAAGCCATATGGGGAGGAGGCTGCCTATTGCATCTCTGCATGAGTCACTGCTCTGAATTTGCCTCCTTTCAATCCACTTCTACTGGAGGTGGGTGAGCAACTCTGCCTCATCTCTGCATTGTGTGTTTGGATAAACAGAGATATTTCAGAACTGCCCACTGTCAGAAGAGGTTGCCAGTTGAATCCTGCACAAATCACTGGCCTCTTAGCCACCACTAGAGGTGAATAATTCTGCTTTATAACATGTGATTATTGGATTATTCACTTGTGATGCAAGGATGTTACAGAACTGACTCGTCCTCACATCAGGTGTGGCTGGATCAGTCAGTCATTTCTGGAAAGGTGGAGGGAAATTACCTGTCACCAGAGAAGACTGCCTGCTGCCATCTATGCATGAATCTTGGCTCGCCTCTTTTCAGTCAGAAGGTAGGCGCAAGTTGCACAGAAACACACAAAGTGTGCTCCTCCTTGGTCAGATAATTTTTATTATCTCATAATCTGAACCTTTTTGGGTGCAGGACTGAAAATCTGCTTCCGGTTTTAATTCAGGAAGAAAGTATTGTCTTGTGGCAAGGAAACCACAGCAGCTTCTCTTCCCACAAAATACTAAATGCAAATCCCATTTTCAAATCTGTATCCAGAGAGAGATAGTAGTAGATGTGGACAAGTGATAGCTGGAGGCATTTCTGAACAGGGGCAAGGGTGCCATAAAGTTGCTGGAACCTCTTGTTGTTTTAAAATATCTTTACAAATTATTGGTTTGCCCTGCAAGGAATTATGGGGGTAGTAGGAGTAACCAACTGGGAAATGTCCCTAACCCAAACCTCTCTCTGCAGGATACTGTAAACTTTTAGGGACTTCTGCAACCTGTATCTCTTTTCTCCCTTTCCCCCTGCAGCTCACATGCACGGGCCCTGTACCTTTCATGCCTCCCGGAGGGCTGCCCTCACCCTTTCCTCTTGGTTACTTTACAAAGTCATCTTTTTGTACATAGCAAAAGGGAGTCCCTTGAGTATGTAGAAACTTCCACGGTGACTGTGGGTGGCCTGGTTCTGCTGCTTTTGTGACTTGCTCAAGCCACCCACTTGCCTCCTCTTAGAGGGAATGAAATTATGTTTATGAAGCTGACCTACAAAGCTCTATCTGAGCTTCTCGGGGACTGCATCCACCCTGACTTTTGTTAACCAGCCAGAGTGACTTCCACAAGGAGCAGGGCCTTCTCAGGGGTCACCCAGAAGTTCTGGGAGGCCCTTCTGCCTGCAGTTCTGAAGAAGAAAACCTTGGTCTGCTTGACTTTTGAACATTCTTAATATTTTAAAGATTAATGAATGCGTGTGAGTGTGTGCATATATGTATGTATTTGGTATAAGCTTCTGAGAGCAGGGGGACAAAGTGGAATCTAACTCATTAAATTTTTGGACACTGCTCTTGGTTATTTTAACACAGACATTTTAACGTATCTATTTTGTGCACTGCTTTGTGACTGAGAAATTAAAACCTGAGCAGGAATTGAAAGCATATAGAGGCTGCTTCCACACAGAGATGGTTCTCTTGTTGCTTGCTGCTGAGAATGCAGAGGCATCTACAGTGGCAATGGAGTGTCCACATGGCAGTTTCCCCTGCACTTTCTTTGCCTCATCCCCAATGTCTCCCTTCTCCTGGAAAGGTGTTTTTTTGTTTGTTTTTTTAAAAGGAGAACTGCTAGACTGCTATACTGTTATTCCATTACGATCATCTACTGCCTCCATCTGTTAGTTCCCACCTTTCATTTCTAAACAACAGCAAGTCTCTAGCCCTTTACATTGTGGAGCTATCAGGAGAAACACGTACCTTTCCCCTTACAGCTCTACAAAGAACAGAGTTAGAGACTTACTTTTTAAAAAAATGAAAGCTGGAAACTAGTAGACCATGGCAATAGACCGTAATAATGTTTTTGCACAATAGCAATAAGTCAGTTACCTTTTTTTTTTAAGCATAGAAAAGGCCCTGGTTAGGGGAAACTGGTGGTTTTTAGGGGGCGCCGTAATAATGTTTTTGCACAATAGCAATCAGTCAGTTACCTTTTTTTTTTTAAAGCCTAGAAAAGGCCCTGGTTAGGGGAAACGGGTGGTTTTCAGGGGGTTAAGGCAAGGAAAATGGGGCAGATGTAGATGGGACATGCAAAAATGCACACTTTCCTGTCCGTATGGAGTCCAAAGGCATTTTGACCGCATTCTTTCCAAAAGATCGTACCAAACCAGTAAAGTGGGAGAAAACAACAGAAGCAGGATAAACAGGGGATGACGTCATGTGGATGTTCCTGAAAACAGCGTTGCTGTAATGAAGCCAAAGTGGACCAAACATCCATGTGGAAGCAGCCTGTACATATCTGTGTAAATAACTCTAACTCCGTGTCCAATTTGCCCTATTTGGGCAAGCTTATTGAGAGGGCGGTGGCATTACAGCTGCAGGGCTTTCTGGATGACGCTTCCATCCTAGATCCTTTTCAGTCCGGCTTCCGCCCGGGGCATGGAACAAAGACAGTACTGGTCGCTCTTACTGACGACCTCCGAAGGCATCTGGATCGAGGCGGTGTGGCAGCACTGTTGTTGTTAGATCTGTCGGCCGCGTTTGATATGGTCGACCACCAGTTGCTGCCCCACCGCCTCGCCGACGTGGGGATTCAGGGGCTCGCCCTTCAATGGCTTGCCTCTTTTCTCCAAGGTCGGGGTCAAAGGGTGGTGATAGGGGAACACCAGTCCCGGAGACATCCTCTTGAATGTGGGGTGCCGCAAGGGGCAGTGCTTTCCCCGATGCTGTTCAACATCTACATGTGCCCCCTTGCCCAGATTGCCCGGAGGTATGGGCTTGGGTGTCATCA